CCCCCGGGGGGAATATCGAAAAATCCCTTCTTAGTGTACATTCTGTTGACGTTCCCTATTAAAATGCAATCAAAAATGCAAAAAACCGCATCTAAAATAGTATGAATAGAAGCAGAGTTCTTTACGGTAAGCCTTCCCCGTAAGGCTTACCGCAAAGAACTGTCCATCCCCCATATTTAACGGAATAATATAAAGCCTATGTTCATTTTGAAGTTCCATTCTAAATATTGGTGAAAAAATTTTTGAAATCGGATGAGTAGTTTTGGAGATTACCTGCTGCATACAAATTAACATACATACAAACATTACCTCTTTATTATATTAGTATAGATTAAACGGGAAAAAATATTTTATAACATAGAGTAATAACAATCACCATAATGTCAGTTGTATTCAAATATGCGCTATTTTAGTAAATTTCTACAATAATCATTTCATAGAATTACAGACCGATTTACAAAAACACATTAATGAAATCTACTCCAGTCATTATTGTTACTTGTGCTGGAATTAATTAAATACAAACTAAAACACACAAATATCACAAACTTACCTGACAAAGAAAACAGTAGAATCGAAATTGAATGAATGAAAATAAATTACAAAAACAATTAGGCAAGCAGACTCAATACACTTAGAAAACAATATAACATCTAAGTTAATAAGATAGATTATAATTATATATTTAAGGAAACTATTTATTCTGACTGAAAGAAATTTTAAAAAATTACAGACATACATTAAAAAAGAAAATAAACTTCGTATGCTTTGTTTGTTTCTGTGTAGTTGCCATGTTGAAAATTTTATTTGAAGCTAAGCACTGCATGAAAATATTCACAAAAACTTTTATTTTACATTATACTGTATATACACGCCTTATTAATAATTAAGTTTAATATTTTTTACATATGTTTCTTTTAGTTTTTTAGAAAGCACTTGTCATAATGAATTGTCATATGGTAAACACACAACCTACTACTCTGGAACTGATGGTATAGTGTACCACTTTGGAAAACCCAAGAAAAATTTTCGAAAACTTTTGCGTGGAAATCAATCCAGAAATATAGGGCCATGTCTCTGAGTATCTGGCTGTCTCTTTCTGGTCACAGTCTAATCCATAAATGTGACGGATAAGATTTTCATACTGGATGACGCATAGATATCTTTTATTATCTCACAAGGCCAAATTATACAAAAAAACAAAATATGGAAAGCACATATCAAAAGAGAACATTTACTAATAATTGTAGAAAGTGCCATATAATGCACAAAAAAATAAATAATAACTGATTACATTACCATAAAAATAGCAATTATAATACATCAAAGCTTGCACATAAACTTTTACACACTCAAGTACTACAGAACATCAGGCTGGATATTTCTCTAAGTACAGCTCCTATTCCTGTCGTTTTTTTGATTTTCTGGATTTTACTTTGGACTTCTCGCAGTGGTTCTATAATGCGAAAATTTCCGCGCTGTCAGGTGGTCATATAGAAAATTTAACAATGACATTAAAATATATTATATCCTAATTTAGGACTTTCTCCTCCTTCAAGAAAAAGACAACAATGATATAAAAATTGTAGAAGAAAGTGCAAAGTTAACTGAAATTGGAATATGGATGGATAATGTTACAGCTACATGGAGAAAAGTAAGATAATTTCTATTTNTAACAATCACCACAATATTAGTTGTTTTCAAATATGCGCTATTTTAGTAAATTTCTACAATAATCATTCCATAGAATTACAGACCGATTTACAAAAATACATTAATGAAATCTACCTCAGTCATTATTGTTACTTGTGCTGGAATTAATTAAAGACACAACTAAAACACAAAAATATCACAAACTTACCTGACAAAGAAAACAGTAGGGCCATGTCTCTGAGTATCTGGCTGTCTCTTTCTGGTCACAGTCTAATCTATAAATGTGACGGATATGATTTTCATACTAGATGACGCATAGATATCTTTTACTGGTCTTGATATAACACGAGGCCAAATTATACAAAAAAAAACAAAATATGGAAAGCACATATCAAAAGAGAACATTTACTAATAATTGTAGAAAGTGCCATATAATGCACAAAAAAATAATTCATAACGGATTACATTACCATAAAAATAGCAATTATAATACATCAAAGCTTGCACATAAACTTTTACACACTCAAGTACTTCAGATACACGAGGCTGGATATTTCTCTAAGTACAGCTCCTATTCCTGTCGTTTTTTTGATTTTCTGGATTTTACTTTGGACTTCTCGCAGTAGTTCTATAATGAGAAAATTTCCGCGCTGTCAGGTGGTCATATAGAAAATTTAACAATGACATTAAAATGTATTATATTTTAATTTAGGACTTTCTCCTCCTTCAAGAAAAAGACAACAATGATATAAAAATTGTAGAAGAAAGTGCAAAGTTAACTGAAATTGGAATATGGATGGATAATGTTACAGCTACATGGAGAAAAGTAAGACAATTTCTATTTCAACGGATTAATTTTAATGTTAGGTTACGTGACTATATGGCAAAAAACTAAAAATTGAATTAAAATCAGGGCTGTGAAGTCGGAGTCGGAGTCGTGGAGTTTTGGTGTTTTAGTCGGAGTCGGAGTCGGAGTCGGTAGATTTTTACGCGACTTCACAGCCCTGGCAGGGCTGTGGAGTCGTAGTCGGAGTAGGAGTCGGAGTCGTGGAGTTTAGGTGTTTTAGCCGGAGTCAGAGTCGGAGTCTGATGGTAAGGAAAAGTCGGAGTCGGAGTTGGAGTCGGTAGATTTTTACGCGACTCCACAGCCCTGATTAAAATAACCATTCCTGGAAAAATATTTTTTAAACTTTTAAACAAATCTTTCTTTCTAGTGTAATAAAACAATTGCTTTGACATTTGATCTGCTCCTAACCAAGTAGGGATTTTTTGTTTATATAATCCAATCAGTAATTTATTCACATTTACCCTAGGAGTGGGACCATGTCTATTTAGTCTTTACACGAAAATAAATTAACTATCTCTCGCCTGACCTACAAGAGTTAAGGTATAATTCCAGATTATAGACTAGTTTTTACGGGATGTCAGATTACTGAACTTCTATTATATACTTAATACTGATAACATGTGCATATTTAATTTTTATTAACAATAAACTTTATTTTGTTTTTTTAATAAAATAATATTGGTATTACCATGAATTAATGTATAGTAGATTTTTATTTCTGATTGGTAAGGTTTAACATTAGTCATGCATATTTTAGTAACTTTTCTTTTTAAAAGGAATCTGAACCAACATTAAGTGGGATATCTTTAAACGTTCAGTCTGGAGATTTATTAACTATTATAGGTCCTGTTGGATCGGGAAAGGTAAATTACTTGTGTTTTTAGTTTTATATCGTAATAAAGGAAACATATAAAACTTGTAATTTAAACTTACATGAATATAAAACCAATTTTATATAAAAAGTAGGCATACTTCAAATTAAAAAATAAAGCTATTAATTTCATTAGACATCTCTTTTAATGTCCATGTTGAGAGAGATTCCTGTTACTTCTGGTGAAGTGTCAATAAAAGGAAAAATCGCGTATGCTTCTCAAGAAGCTTGGGTGTTCAACGCAACTATCAGAGAAAATATTTTGTTCGGGGAAGAATATGAAGAACAGAAATACAAAAATGTCTTGCATATAACGGCTCTTGAAAAGGTAAGACTATGGTTTTATGGTCTAATTAGCACATTTTAGTTTTTATGTAAATTATAGAGGAAAAGTTGTCTGATCACAGCAATTAATAAAAACGACAAATAGTTTTATGTATTATATTAAGCTATCTATTGTTTTTAACAGAATTATATCATGGAATAGTAATAATACTATTGCATTTTTCTACTGAATAACTAACCAATGTCTGGTTTAATGCATATTATGTAGAATTATTTTGTATTTATACTTATTTTAGGATATAAGAATATTTCCTAAAGGAGATCTGACTATTGTAGGAGAAAGAGGAGTAATAATGAGCGGTGGTCAAAAAGCAAAAATTAATCTAGCAAGGTAAGACAGGTCTTATATTAATATTATACAGTCAATCCAGTTTCAACTGCCCCTTTATGTAGTGCGACTTCGGAAGTTCCTCCAAAACTCTCGAAAAACAATTAGTTCCATATTAAATCGATAACGTAAACCACCACTCTGTCTTCCGCCATTAGCCAACCATGATTTAAAATATAATTATTTTACATTCAAAATATTTCGGATTAACCGTCACAATTTTATTTCACATATATTAAGGTAAAATAGTATCGTAACAAGAGTTTCCAGCAATATGAAATTTTGAAAAAGAAGAAGTTTCGATACCACTAACGGGGTTTTCCTTATCAATTCAAATTTAGAAGAGACTTTTAACATAATTATATTCTGCTCACAGCCCAAATAAAAGCTAGAAAAAGAGCTGGACTTACATTCTCTCAGTCAAGTCAGAATTCTTGCTTTATAATACATATTGTACTTTACACTCTAATTAATTTAGTCTTTTATGCACTGAAAAAGAAAGGTATTATTTCAATCAGTGATAAGCAAGGATTCTGTGTATACAGTAAAAACTCTGCATGCTGTTCTCAAAATTATACTGCCAGTCACTTTTCTATTGTCTGGAAGAAAAGATGTTAACAGTCAGACAGGTAGATACTTTAAACCAAAAAAGCAGGTAAATAAATGCAGAAAATAGAGCCATTGGAAAAATGTAAAGATGAAGACATAACGAACTTGAAAATACATTAGTTATATGGATTCAGCTTGTGCAAAAAATGGCACTGTTACAGATGTTGTTATAAGAAAAAGCTGCGATACGAAAATAATTTCGACAATAGTAATTTTAGTTACAGTAACGAGTGGCTGCATCGGTTTAAACAGTGTTATGGCTTAGTGATTGAAAAGTGGTAAAATTGCTGAAGGTCTGGATGGCGTAGAACAGGAAAGATCTAATCTGTTGAAAATAATAGAGCAGTGTGGCATGAAAGCTATGTATAACATTTTATCACTTTAGTTTACCGATAACAACCTGAAAAAACGATTTTCATGCATCTGTGAAATGTGGCAAGAAGAATAAAGTTTAATAGAATTACAGTTGTCTTTTGTTGTAATTCAGACAGTAATGATAAGAGCACTGCAAATGTTATTGGAAGATTAGCAAAGCTTCGTTGTGTTAAAAATTTCGATGCTTTTATTTATTGCTACTAAAAACATAACAAAAAGAGATGGATTACACCCTACTTTTCCAAGAATTTCTTGAAGATTTTAATAGGGATATGAAGAGAAAATCGTCATGTTTTGCTATGAATTCATAATATACCCTGTCTTTGGACAGCCAACGTGAGCAATGCGAAAATATAATTATTTTATTTTTTCAAACAATTTGCACGGGAATTTTGCAAAGTCGTGTAACTGGCATAATAAAAACTTCTAAATCTAACTGCAGATGCCACCAAGTAAGAAAAATTATCGAATGCATCAATGATTAAATTTCTATTGACATGTCTTTGAAATCTGCACTGCGGCCAATTAAAAAATCATCGGATTAAGTTACATCCAAGACAATAAAAAATTATCGGCTGCATACCGTCCTATTCAGACAGAAGACACAAATTTTCGAGGATTAAAATTTTGTTGTTCGAATGTTAGGTAGTGAATCAGCTATCTTTCAGATACCACATCCACAGTCAAACTTGCAGCTGAAGAACTGACGGAAATCGACTGTAAGAAGATAATTTTGTGGTGTTCTTTTCGGTAGAAATATTTAATTTTGTGATAAAAAATAGTCAACTGCAGAAATAAAACGAAGACCACAGCATAAAAAAATCCATTAGTATATCCCAAAGATGCTCACGCTTGTTTAGAGAAAATTTAGAGTAATCTGAAGGTACTGCACATGTATCCAATAAACGTTCAACAGATACATGTCGATCATTGGATGCATTGGAGGAAATAATGTAACTGAAACAGCTTTAAACAGGATGTTTTTATTAGCATTAAACAATAAATGTCATATAAATAAAGGAAAACTGATGGTTATTTTTATTATCTTGATATTTTTATTTGTATGCCGTTTTCTCAACTTTCCACCATTACCTAAAAACCATTGGTGAAGATTAACTATTTTTATGAGTGCAAACGTATGAGTATTATCCTAATGAATATATAATAGTTATAGTAAAATATATAGAGTTCAGTAAAATTTGAGTAATATTATATATACAGTACAGTGCATTTGAATTTAATTACTAAATCCTAGAAAGAAACATTACCTAAAAATGTACATAATGTTATATCTTAGTCAGTGATTCTTTTCATTTTAAAATGTTTCTATGGTGCTCTCATATTAGCTGTACAGTACATGGCAGAGAGTATGAATATTGTAAAATTATAAATTATAGTGTTCAAATAAAAACAAATATAATTAATGCCAGTTTAGATTCTTTACTTGTGGAGTATAAAAGCAGGTATGAATTTAAATAACATATACAATATCCTAGTTAATATACAAAAATCGGTAAAAATCAATATAAGGTTTTCTTCTATGCATGGATTATTTTTTACATTTGTTATACGTTTGTAATATCGTATTATTATTGTATTTTTGTTTGTATTCCTAGAGCACTATACCTAGATGCAGATATATTCCTCTTTGATGATCCATTAAGTGCTGTTGATGTTCCAGTGGCAAAACATATATTCGAAAAGTAAACGTCTAAGTATTACTTAGAAAGTAAATATACCGTATTTCAACTTTTCATTTATTTCAGATGTATAATAGAATATTTGAAAGACAAGATTTGCATTCTTGTTACGCATCAAATACACTTTTTAAACTCTGCAAGTAAAATTTTACTGTTAAATAAGGTGAATATATTGATTGTTTATTTAGTTTGGTTGTAAATTATGTGTGTATCGGCATTTACGTCAATATGTCGGAACAAAATATAGGCGAGCTACCAACAAAAACGATTTTTGAAATACAGTACACTTTTTTACAAAATGATCTTTATTTTAGTGTGGGATACATTATAATATGTATCTCACACTGAAATAAAGATCACTTTGATGTGTAAAATACTAGTTGTTGAGTCAATGGTTTAAATGTAAATATATGAATAATTAATTACCAGTGTTCATTAATTTTTATCATACTTCGATATTTGTGTATTAAAGAACAATTATTTTTATTCTGTATAGTAGTAAAAATAAAACAGGGATTGCATCCATCACAAATTAAAACATACATATGTAAATATAATGGTAATTACATATTTGTTACTAATAAATTTAATAAAAATAAGTAAGTACTTAATAATTTAACAAGAGATTTTTTAGGTTTATAAGTTTAACATAAAATTTTTATATAAAATATATAAAAACAATTATTTTATAGTATTATTATTATATTATTTCAGGGAAAATGTGAGTTTGTTGGCAATTACAATCAGATGAAAAACTCTAAAATGCTTAAAGGAATTTTGTCAAAGAAAGAAATAGCTGAAAATAGCAAGGACTTAAAAAATGTACTTTTCAATGGTGATGAAATAATTGAAACTACTGAATCTGATTTGATTGATGACATTGAAGATAATAATAACAGCAACAAAGTAAGTTTGGTTTATTTGTTATTGGCAACGTTACACGTGTGCAATCAACAGAGGAGGAATGAATTCCAGTAAGAGTTTCGATAGAACAAGAGCATTTATGTAGTTGTTACAAATGTGAAAGAAAACTGGAAAAATTCGTGTGTTCTGCCTATTGGTGAAGTTGCAAACCCAAGATCATCTACCAATATCAGTTGTTTTCTGAACTGTTTTCTGAATTTCAAATATTTTGTACAATTACCTGTAGAAATTAATGCGTAACGATTCGAAAACCCTTCATATGTACACATACTGTCATCTACCATGATGACGTCACTTTCTTAATTCCTCCAAGATTTTGCTAATTAACTAATTATAATTTAATGTCAGTTCTTTAATATAATAGTAAACTTTAATAATAGACTTTTCTTTTAGCCAGAAAGTACTAATTCATGTGTTGCCATCTAGTGAAGAGAGAGACAAATAGACAGACAGAAATCCATTGCAGTTTTATTTAATAAAATATCTGTAGGTTTGATTAGTGGTAAACATTCCGGGGATCATAAAGATGCTACAGTTAAAATTTAGTAATTATTGGTTCAGTAGTTTCCATGGTTAGTGTTTACAAACGAAAAATACGTTGTCTCTTTATATAGTAGTATAGATATAGATATAGCAGTTATCTGAATGAATAATTTTATATTAGAATAACCGAGATGTGTCAGTTACATTCCTTATATCTAAAAAAATCAATTTTTCAATAACTTATGGACAAATTCGAAAAATCTCAATGATTTTCTATCTATGAATTCCAGACAATGTGATACACGCATTTCCATTACATGTATCACCAAAGTTGACCGCGTGCAGTAAATTGTAACAAAAAGTGAAGGCACTGTACTTTCAATTGATTCATGCAATCATCGAAATTTTGTAAAATAACAATGTTGACAAATTATATCTTCACAAAAATAACAGACAATATATTTTATTTTCATATTTAATGCCTAGATTAATCTAAATTTATTTCAAATAGGCCATTGCAACTTTTTACTACGCGACTTTTTCTGGTTTAGTATAGTCTCGTGTCTTTCTTGCGGTCACATCATGATTAAAATTTTGAATGGCTTCCAATTTATCCATCTTAACTCCAGCGAGTAGGGTTTCAAGTAATATGAAAAATATCTCATTTTCAAAACAGAAAGATGTTTCTACTTCTTATTTATTTTCCTGGTAGTTATTAAAATTTTAACACAATTCAAAAAAGAATTTCTATAATTTTTGACATTATTTCCTGCAGAAATTTCAAGAAAACAAATTACCACGAGATGAAGGAGGAGATGGAAAAGTAGAAATTTTAGTTTATAAAGCTTATTTGAATGCTGGTCCAGGTTTCTTCTTCAAGATTGTTATATTCATTATTCTAGTTGCATCTCAAGTTATTACAAGTGCCAGTGACTATTGGTTGATCAAATGGTAGGTTATTCATAAAATTGTTATAACTTTTTTGCATGTGAATTTGTTATTTAAATAAAATGTTTAAAAACGTACTACTATATATAAGTTATATTTATTTTACAATGTCAGCAAGTTATTATGATGTTTCTATGCAAAAATATAAGGCTACCTCAATTTTCTGAAGTAATAACTTATTGCAGTTAAACAAATAGCGACAAAAATGAATAAAAGTGTAAAAGAATTATTTATTCTATTTACAATCAAAAATAAAAATCAAATGTATTACAATGATCTGTCATCAGTTTATAGTGATATAGGTATAGGAGAAGGTGGTATTATGAAACCCCATTTTCATTACAGTGAATTGTAAACAAAATATCATAACTATGCCTACATATTTTGTGCGAAAAGTACTGGTATCTATTAAACTAAATGTTACTAATTGGATTTTTCGGTAGCATAACTTTAAGTATGGTTTTTCAAGGCTTCTGTAAAATAAAGTCAAAAAGTACTTTTTTAACTAAAATAACTTCTGAATATAACTATATCTACTTATTTATAGTTTTATGTATCTATTTCTAATTTATTTCTCATTCATCCATCACATACTTTTACAAAAATTATTTCACAATTTGAATTTGTGGATAATACGGAACCTTAGAGGAGTCGGATTCCATATTAAAAGCACCAATGGGGTTTGTATTTCACGCATCGCCATCTTGGGTTAACTTAAATTTTTTATACAACAAAGTTTAAAAACGTGAACATCATGTGTACTCCTAGGACTCTAGAATAGAACACATGCACCTGGAACCTACAACTACATGATTTATATTTTAGAAGTAATTAAATTCACTTACCATTCCAGAGTTTGGAAATACAAAACACTGAACTCAACCACATAACTGAAGTGGGAGGTGTTTTCCTCTTGCTATGGATGTCTGCCTAGTGCAGTTCAGCCACAATTTGCTAGAGTTCGAATCTATTATCAGTCTGAAATGGAGGGGTTCCATAATACCACCTTTGCTCTTTTAACTGTTAGGGAATATTTTTATAAATTACTCAAAAATGCCACTAGCCTTATATTTTTGAGTAATTCATACAATTATTTACTATCACATATAATATTTCACTATAAACGGGTAACAACAGTTTGTAACTTCGATCAGTGGCATATTTTATTTTATAGCATTATTAATTGTTGTGATATTATATTAACAGTGGGTACTTTCCTCTGTATGAGTGTGATTGAAACACGACACTCCATGAAAATGAAAGTTCTGATATTGCTATAGAAAAACAGCTGAAGAAAATTTTTTCTGTAGTGTAATATTAATCTTGGTGTGCAATATGAAGAGAAACAAACAAGGCATCTTTGAAATTAAAATTTTACAATGAAGCAGCAATCAATTAACCGACAAATATAAGCGACAAGAACATTGTTATGTAAAGTAGCGCAAACGCCTGATGTTATTGTACCCATCAAATCCACATTGCCTAAGATGGTAAAATTAACAACATATCTACTATTTAAATAAAAGAAAAGCAGGGCAATATCTAAAATAACACCTAGTAAAATAACTGACATGGACCAAAGATAAATTGTTATAAAGACCAAAATGAAGTTAAGATTATTTGTACTGAAAAGAAAATTTTTATCTTTGATGGTTCCAAGAGTTGGACATTTTACTGTCTGGGTTCCTGGTAAAAACAAATTTTTGCTTGCCCAAACCTCAACAAAAAATAGAATTAGTCAAGATATTGGTATGATTGAATGATCTTAAGAAATCAATTCGTTGTTCATAAATGATTGAATAAATACATTCGAATATGAATAAATCTTGAAGATATTTTCTGACATTTGGAGAAAAAGGTTTCTTGTCTATATTTCCAACTAGCAGACTCCGCCACGCGTTGTTATGGCTCAAAATGTATCTATTATAAATGTATAACACTTCCCTTGTAGGGGGGGGATTTTACGAAAAATTTCTTCTTAGTGTACATTCTCTTGACATACCCTATTAAAACGCAATCGCAAAAACCCGCATCTAAAATAATATAATAGAAGCCAAGTGTTTCACAGTAAGCCTTAATTCTGTCCCACTCCCCCGCGGGGAATATAAAAAAATACCTTCTTAGTGTACATTCTGTTGATGTACCCTATTAAAACGCAATAAAAAACGCAAAAAAACCGCATCTAAAATAGTATAAATAGAAGCAGAGTTTTTTACGTTAAGCCTTAATCCTAACCATCTCTTTTCAGTGGGGGGAATTTCGACACGTATATTATATAAAAAGACGTGCGTATTTGAATGCAGCGTTGTGTGAAAATTTCAAAGGAATCGGTAGGAACAAACGAACATTACATTTTTATTTATATAGATAGATAGAAGATGATCTGTTTTAGTTCATTTTCATAGAAAAGCATAATGCCTCAGAGAAAAGCAAACTTAGGGCGTCGTACTCGTAGCGCCATCTGTTGGACATAAAAGCCTTAACCGTAGATGATATCATTTAATTTATATGAATGTTTAACGGAATAATATACAGCCTATATCCACCCTGAGNTCAATTTTCTGAAGTAATAATTTATTGCAGTTAAACAAATAGCGACAAAAATAAATAAAAGTGTAAAAGAATTATTTATTCTATTTACAATCAAAAATAAAAATCAAATGTATTACAATGATATTCCATCAGTTTATAGTGATATAGGTATAGAAGAAGGTGGTATTATGAAACCCCATTTCCATTACAGTGAATTGTAAACAAAATATCATAACTACGCCCACATATTTTGTGCGAAAAGTACTGGTAACTATTAAACTAAATGTTTCTAATTGGATTTTTCACTAGCATAACTTTAAGTGTGGTTTTTCAAAGCTTCTGTAAAGTCGAAAAGTAGTTTCTTAACCAAAATAACTTCTGAATATAACTATATCTACTTATTTATAGTTTTATGTATCTTTTTCTAATTTTTTCATTTATCCATCACATACTTTTACAAAAATTATTTCATAATTTGAATTTGTGGATAATACGAAACCTTAGAGGAGTCTTAATGATTCCATATTAGAAGCACCAATGGAGTTTGTATTTCACGCATCGCCATCTTGGGTTAACTTAAATTTTTTTGACAACAAAGTTTAAAAACGTGAACATCATATGTACTCCTAGGCCTCTAAAATGGGACACATGCACCAGGAACCTACAACTACATGATTTATATTTTAGAAGTAATTAAATTCACTTACTATTCCAGAGTTTGGAAATGCAAAACACGCAAACATCCTGTTTCACTGATCGCAACCACATAACTGAAGTGGGGGCGTCTTCCTCTTGCTATAGATGTCTGCCTAGTGTAGTTCAGCCACAATTTGCTAGAGTTCGAATCTATTATCAGTCTGAAATGGAGGGGTTCCATAATACCACCTTTCCTCTTTTAACTGGTAGGGAATATTTTTATAAATTACTCAAAAATGCCACTAGCCTTATTTTTGAGTAATTCATACAATTATTTACTATCACATAATATTTCACTATAAACAAATAACAACAGTTTGTAACTTCGAACAGTGGCATATTTTATTTTATAGAAATTGTTGTGATATATTAACAGTGGGTACTTTCCTCTGTATGAGTGTGATTGAAACACGACATTCCATGACAATGGAAGTTCTGATATTGCTATAGAAAAACAGCTGAAGAAAATTTTTTTGCACAGTAGTGTAATATTAATCTTGGTATGCAATATGAAGAGAAACAAACAAGGCAGGTTTGAAATTAAAATTTTACGACGAAGCAGCAATCAATTAACCGACAAATATAAGCGACAAGAACATTGTTATGTAAAGTAGCGAAACGCCTGATGTTATTGTACCCATCAAATCCACATTGCCTAAGATGGTAAAATTAACAACATATCTACTATTTAAATGAAAGAAAAGCAGGACCATGTCTGAAATAACACCTAGTAAAATAACTGGCATGGACCAAAGATAAATTGTCATAAAGACCAAAATGAAGTTAATATTATTTGGACTGAGGAGAAAAGTTTTATCTTCGATGGTTCCAAGAGTTTGACATTTTACTGTCTGGATTCCTGGTGAAAACAAATTTTTGCTTGCCTAACCTCAACAAAAAGTAAAATCAGTCAAGATATTAGTATGGTTGAATGCTTTTAAGAAATCAATTCATCGTTCATAAATGGTTGAATGAATACATTCGAATATGAATATATCTTGAAGAGATTTTCTGACATTTAGAGAAAAAAGTTTTTTGTCTATATTTCCAATTTTAACAGGATAGTGCACAATTCTATAATGAAAACTCTGCTTTTAAATAAGTACTGTATAAAGACTCTTGGATTATGAATTGACTTACCTATTCCCGTTATTTGAACTCGATAGAAAATTTATGCAATCTGATAATTAGGTATGTGTACACAGCAGGAAACAATGCCGAAATATTAAAGATGTCAAAGCTGCGATTGCCACTACATGGTTAAAAAATCTTGCTTACCCTATAAAAACGAATATTACAAAGTTATTTTGATAAATGATGGATTCACTGGCAATTAAATGTCATTGGTCGTATATTTTTGCAATACAATTATTTTTCAGTTTTTGAGTAAAAAATTTATATTTTCTATTTTTTTTAGTATAAATAAAACAAGCAATTAATTTAGACCAGCGTTTCTCAAAGTGGGCAATAACGCTACCTTGTTGGCAATGAATAAATCTAGGGGGCGCTGGAGGCAGGTTATTGAACGGTGACCAAAGGCAAAATCTGTGTCACTGAAGCCGTTCCCTTTCTTCTGTTAAACTGATAAGAGGAAACATTGCGTTTAATGGTTTCCAGATGTTGACAACAATGTACGGTAAGGGCACAAAGTGTGAGATTCATAGAAAAGTTTTCCTAAGAATATTTCCAATCCTTTCTCTCACAAGAGAAAATGGGTTAGGGGCGTTGGGTATAACTTTATGGAACAAAGGGGCTGTGCATCGAAAAAGTTTGGGAATCACTGATTTAGACCTATATTTATTTGCTAGTTTTTTTTCGTTTGTTTAAATTTGAACTGAAATAATTTTTGTATTCTAATACATATATTGAAATCTGACAATCTTCTAGTTTCAAACATAATTTTTAGATATTAGTTTATTTTTAATGTATTTTAGTATTTCATCTTTATAAACTACTGTTGGGAACTTCCCAAAAATTAACTGTTATTTTATATTTAATTTTCAGGTTGAAAGATAACAGAATCTATAGCCAAAGTATAGGGAAACTCGAAAACATTACATCCAAGAGTACAATTTTAAATAATATTGAAGGCAAAAATTTTTATCATACTGAAGAATTTAACATATATGCTTATTTTGGACTTATATGTGTAGTATACATCATGATGTTACTTTCTGTATTATTATTGTACAAATATTTCACAGCTGCCTCTATCAACCTTCACAATAAAATGCTCCATTGTATTATGAGAACTCCAATATCATTTTTGGATAACAATGCTGTTGGTATGTAAAATATATTTATTTAATTTTACTTTTTAGTGACTTACATAGATATGGCAAAGTATTCGAATAGTCTGAAATCTGACCCTGTAAAACATGTGAAATTTTCCATGTTTGAGATCCATCTGAACACAAAAACATAAAAAGAAGCCAATTATCTGTATATGTACCGTACAGTACACTACAGTGTTTTTGGAGGGTGACACTTATTTAGATTAATATTTCAGGATGGTCTAACAATTTGTTTGTTAAGTTATAGCAACGCAACACTTGGGCGATGCCTTCCAGGAGATTTTTAAAACTGGCACCTATTTTGGCGTTACAGACCCGCAGAAAACCCGGAAAACTCCACGTGGCCAGCCAGTCCGAGCGAGGCACGAACCCATGACCGAACTCCCAGTGTTCAGGGTACAAAGAGTCTTGGCCACTGGCGGTGATCAAACAATTATGGAAGATTTCACATAGTAGTTTCTGTATGAATGGCATTGATGATATTTAATTTTAGTATTAAAAATGTCAACTGCTAAAGAAGTAAACTGATTTCATATGTTCTATCTTGAACTTAATGAAAATTTACTTGTTACTAAAGTTTTACTAATAAGAAGTAAATTTTACACACATATACAGTGTAACATTTTTGATTGGAAACTTAAGCAACTTCTTGCGAAATTTCTTGTAAAGAAATAGTATTTTCAATCAAATTCGAAAAATTAATTTTTACAACTATGCTCGAAAATTATGTAATTACACATGTGAAAATTGAAAGTTTTGTTTACTATATAGCAGTTTCATTCAGTTTTCGTAAACCATTTCCATATTTTTAAGATTTTTTAAGTCATAAATTATGGACAATGCGTTGTCCAAAATTTGAAGTATAAAAAACCAGTAAAACATCACCCTAAAAAACATTAACATTACTGATTTAGTATATGGTATTACTATAAATAAAAATGATATCTTAGAAAATACGATTGACATAAAAAACTACGTTAATTAATTTGTCATATTTTCATATATTTTTAGGAAAAATATTAAATAGGTTTTCAAAAGATGTCAGTATTATGGATGATGCCTTACCTTTCACTATTAATTTTTCCATAAGAGTAAGATTGTAATACTTTTTAATATTTATATGTGTGTAAAATAAATTATAAAAAATAATGAAAAATAATAAATTAGAGTTAGAAAAAATGTTCAGTTACTGAGGTACAGTGTATTCAATAAAGATAAAAACACCAAAAATTTTATGAATAATTTGGAAGTTCTAGAAGCCATTAATATATGACTGTTCTCACTTCTTTTTTCAGAAAGATATACTAACAGTGTCTATTCTACATTAATTAGTAAGTTGATTATCCATGAGATAATGGATTTTGATGTTCAATAAAAATCAGAAACATATATAATAATCTTTCTAATTAATTTAGAATAGTAATTGTTTAGAATAGTAAATAGCATAGCTTTATGCAAAAGGAAGTGAGAACAGTCATACATTAATGGCTTCTAGAACTTCCAAATTATTCATAAGTAGATATATATATATAGCAGACCCCCTATAAAAGTGGTTCATATAATACGGATTCGTATATAACAGCAAAAACTGTGATCGTATTCATATAAACACGCTAAAAAAGACTCGTATAATACAATAAAATGTCATCGCTGACTCCTGTCGTGACAGGATTGGTCGAATCTGGGCCAATAGTGGATATTGCACAAACCATTGAGTTTAAATGAGCAGCGGACCTACTAAAAACTATTTATTATTTAACGGCCATAAAAATTAAATTTATATTAATGATGTTTCCAAAGTTCAGCNTTAGTATAAATAAAACAAGCAATTAATTTAGACCAGCGTTTCTCAAAGTGGGCAATAACGCTACCTTGTTGAAAATGAGTAAATCTATGGGGGCTCTGGAGGCAAGGGTGGCAACAGTGACCAAAGGCAAAATTGGGGTCACTGAAGCCGTTCCCTTTGCTCTGTTAAACTGATAAGAGGAAACATTGCGTTTAATGGTTTCCAGATGTTGACAACAATGTACGGTAAGGGCACAAAGTGTGAGATTCATAGAAAAGTTTTCCTAAGAATATTTCCAATCCTTTCTCACACAAGAGAAAATGGGTTAGGGGCGTTGGGTATAACTTTATGGAAGAAAGGGATCGAAAAAGTTTGGGAATCATTGATATAGACCTATATTTATTCGCTAGTTTTTTGTTTAAATTTGAACTGAAATAATTTTTGTATTCTAATACATATATTGAAATCTGACAATCTACTAGATAAAAACATAATTTTTAGATATTAGTTTATTTTTAATGTATTTTAGTATTTCATCTTTATAAACTACTGTTGGGAACTTCCCAAAAATTAACTGTTATTTTATATTTAATTTTCAGGTTGAAAGATAACAGAATCTATAGCCAAAGTATAGGAAAACTCGAAAACATTACATCCAAGAGTACAATTTTGAATAATATTGAAGGCAAAAATTTTTATCATACTGAAGAATTTAACATATATGCTTATTTTGGACTTATATGTGTAGTATACATCATGATGTTACTTTCTGTATTATTATTGTACAAATATTTAACAGCTGCCTCTATCAACCTTCACAATAAAATGCTCCATTGTATTATGAGAACTCCAATATCATTTTTGGATAATAATGCTGTTGGTATGTAAAATATAGTTATTTAATTTTACTTTTTTAGTGGCTTACATAGATATCATGGCAAAGTATTCGAATAGTCTGAAATCTGATCCTCTAAAATATGTGAAATTTTCCATGTTTGAGATTCATCTCAACACAAAAACATTAAAAAAAGCCAATTATCTGTATATGTACCGTACAGTACACTACAGTGTTTTTGGAGGGTGACACTTATTTAGATTAATATTTCAGGATGGTATAACAATATGTTTGTTAAGTTATGGCGACGAAACACTTGGGCGATGCCTTTTAGGAGATTTTTAAAACTGGCCCCTATTTTGGCGTTACAGACGTGCAGAAAACCCGGAAAACTCCATGTGGCCAGCCAGTCCGAGCGAGGCACGAACGAATGACCGAACTCCCAGTGTTCAGGGTACAAAGAGGCTTGCCACTGGCGGTGATCAAACAATTATGGAAAATTTCACATAGTAGTTTCTGTATGAATGGCATTGATGATATTTAATTTTAGTATTAAAAATGTCAACTGCTAAAAAAATAAAATAATTTCATATGTTTTATCTTGAACTTAATGAAAATTTACTTGTTATTAAAGTATTACTAATAACAAGTAAATTTTACACACATATACAGTGTAACATTTTTGTTTGGAAACTTAAGCAACTTCTTGCGAAATTTCTTGTGAAGAGAAAGTATTTTCAATTAAATTCGAAAAATTAATTTTTACAACTATGCTCGAAAATTATGTAATTACACATGTGAAAATTGAAAGTTTTGTTTACTATATAGCAGTGTCATTCAGTTTTCATTAACCATTTCTATATTTTTAAGAGTTTTTAAGTCATAAATTTTTCAATTTAAAAATTTCAAGTTTAGAATAAACACATTTATTTTTCAATTTTCAACTATGAATGGCAATCCTTTTAACATCAGATAATTTAGCTAGATGAAATTTGATATGATTATTTCTTTATTTCTTGCATTTTCAGGCCCATTAGAATAAATACAAAATTTACTTATTCTTCACTTCACAATATAAAATATACGTGAAGTGAAGAATTAGCATGCATGCAGAAAATGACGATGTAGTCATAGTTTTCGATGCAATGTCACTATAGTACAGTACACAGAAGGTTGATCGCGTTCCATAATGCCGATTTGTATATTTTCCATAGTCCCAGTTGTAGGAAATAGAAAAAAGTGACTGGCTACGTGCTGCTGCATATTCTGAGTTTTACTTTCGATAAGTAAGGTTTATGTATCGCAAATATGCCACCTAAAATTTCAGACTTTTGAGCAGGTTATGTAGCTACTTTTTCAGAAGCAAAATATTTGCAAACTCAAATTATTAAAATGTGCAAAAATCGTGGTTTTATCGTTTTACGATTTGAGATACATTTTTTTTTTTTTTTTTTCATGGGGAATCATAGTTTTTCCTTTAGGAAATCAGTCTTAATTGCACCTCTAATGCATAACAGGGCTTTAGGTACTTTATTCTTTAAAGTTCATACTTCTTAATTCAAGTTATAGTGTTAATATAAAAGATAGAAATTACAAGCTACTGAACCGCTCGTCAGGAAGTTGTTTTACAAATTAATATGAGCTACTTTCTCTTTAATATCTTTATTATAAAGTCAATGAGTTGATTATATGTTTTTTCTCTTCTAATTAAATAATAGACCCCCACAGGGCCATTGCATTCCTTCGTCTTTTGCAATCAATTCCAGGTAATGCCTTTCCAACTGCAATTGTATGCATTCGTACACAAGGTCACTGAGGGTCTCTATCTCCTCTCCACATACACACATATTCTCACTATTCAGGTTAAATCTTCTTCTATGTTCTCATAGACCGTCATACCCAGAGAGATATATCATTGCTTCTCACTTTCTTCTGAACCATTTAAAACGGAAGAGTCTTTCCTCTACATTTAAAAAGTATTCGAACGTCTTACGGGCATTCGTGCTATTTTTCCACATATCTTGCTACTTTTCTATTGTTTCAGCCCTAAGTGTCTTCTTTCCCCAACATTTCAGGATAGTGTGAAACACCTTATCGTTCCCTTTTGTCGCCTCTTTCATTTCCTATAATACCAGTGTGTGTTCTGACCCATTTGAATTGAATTTTCTCAATCAAACCATTTTCCTTTAACTTAGTCTGTGTCCTGAACACTTGCTGATGTGTGGATCTCCTATCAGTTAGGGCCTGTAGAGCACTCCGACTGTCTGTATTAATACACACTCTTCCTTTGGCATTCTATGCACCATTCCACTGCCTTATCAATGGGCAATAGCTCAGACTGATAATTGGAGCAATACGACTTCAACGTAAACTTGTCATTATGAGTTTCTTCATTGCATTCGTAACAACATTCGTAACTCAGGTCAGAATCTGGTCCCAGTCCCAGATTCTGACCTAGAGTCGTCTGTGTATATACCCTTCCTAATTGGTTATCAGCCTTTACATTAACACCACCACTCTTGGCTAGATGTGACAAATTCTTGACAGGACTGTCTCGATCAAAATTACTTAGCTGTATAGGTAGATTAATCATGTTATTTTCTTCATTTTTCTTTAGCCCTTTCCTCTTGGCCCTTTCCTCAATCAGTAGTTCGATAGGCGCCTTGCCTGCTAGAACCATTAGCGCCTCGGTAGAAGTAGTTTTATAGCATTTCGTCAGCCTTAGAAATGCCTGCCGAAGACTCTTTTTTTGAATAGTATTGCTGAACTTTCCACTCCAGGCTGATGCTGCATAGGTCATAATCGGTATAAACATATTGTCATCTATCGCTTCCATTGCTTCTATGAAGACGAAAAGCAATATTATATTCAATAAACTAGGCCAGGGGCCTTGGCGACCTGGCCTAACTTATTGAATATTGGTTTTCGTCTTCAATTGTTTTATATGCATATTCCAGCCTAACCTATTGTCTATGGTTTTCCCTGGTATTTCATGTGTTTTAATACTTTAATGTTTTTACTTCCCATCTTAATGATTGGAGGTTTTTTCTCTAGGACCGATGAAAAGTTCTTAGCAAATATCAGGGCTTTGGTTTTCTTTAGATTAAAGAGCAGTTTGTTCTTTTTTCCCCACTGGTCAATTTCTTCCAGTAGGCTTCCGCATTCTATCTCAATGTGCCTACGAGAATGTCCTGGGCAAACCACCAGGATAGCCTAATGCACAGTTCATGCCATCATTCAAAAGAATTTGAAACTGGAGAAATTCCATAAAAGTCAAGTTTATGAGCTGCTGTCATATCCAAAAACGAAAGACCAACTGCCGAAAACTGTACGAGAAGTATCTTTCGGTAAACAAGTGGCAGTTTGTAGTCACGCTAGATGAAGCGTGGCTGCACATGAATAACTGTAACAAATCGCGGCAATTTACTGCAGACTATCAGATGGGAGACCATACCAAAAATGGTTCATGGAATGTCGCGAAAGCTATCTGTCAGGCTTTATTGTCATTGCAGGTTATTGTTTTCATGGTAAACTGAACATCAGAAAAGTTGAAAAAATGTTAAAATTAATTCGATATACTATCAGAATAACGTTCTAGAACCTCTGTACCGTGAAGACATCCTTACTTTGTACGAAAATGACCAAACAATTGTATACGTGCATCAAGACACAGCTTTTAGTCATACCTCCAAATTGACTCGAGATTTCATCCATGTATTGGAACAGAAAACGGGAATCCATATTATCCCTTTCGGTGACATTTTCATGAAGTCATCTGACGCGACTTTAGTGGANATTGCAAGTTTAGATGATGCAGGAAGCCAAATTGGACTTATTATAAATTATGGAATAGTATTAATTACAAACTTTCAACATGTTATTAAGTATTCATCTGAAGCGGAATTTCAGGTAATACATATAACACGAACCCTATGGTTAATATAAATTTCAAACGAACAGCGAAATTTCTTTCTCAAGGTAAATCAAATTTCTCTTAAAATATAAACTTTTTGCAAGAGATAAACCTTCTTATCAGCATACACCACAAATTTGCTTATTATTCTTTCCATATATCTTATGACAACAAATCACAATAACACAATCTGAGTCGGATTTAAAAAATCTGTTTGATATTTCAAATAATATTTATTTTAAAATGTTATTAGCTGTTTTTAAGAAAGAATAAATATAATTAATAAATATTGTATTATTANCAAAAAAAATTTCTTTAAGGACCGCTTTTTATGTAACGCTATGTTACTTGCCCGAGGTTTCTCGGGCTTGGGGCTTAAAGCTTACACTTTTCCTCACAAAGTGCAAATCTGTAGCCATCATGAGCAGTCTCTATTCAACAGATGTGCATGCAGATTGAAACCACGAGACAGACTATTTTCTCAAAAAAATTAGAAAAAAAATGCTGAGTATGTTTCAGTTCAGTTACTTTAGTTTACATAGTATGTTTTTTAAGCTGCTTTTCTTATCATAAAGATTAGTGTTTTGAATGTATTGCGATGATATTGTGATCAGAATTTTGTGAGATANGACCATACCAAAAATGGTTCATGGAATGTCGCGAAAGCTATCTGTCAGGCTTTATTGTCATTGCAGGTTATTGTTTTCATGGTAAACTGAACATCAGAAAAGTTGAAAAAATGTTAAAATTAATTCGATATACTATCAGAATAACGTTCTAGAACCTCTGTACCGTGAAGACATCCTTACTTTGTACGGAAATGACCAAACAATTGTATACGTGCATCAAGACACAGCTTTTAGTCATACCTCCAAATTGACTCGAGATTTCATCCATGTATTGGAACAGAAAACGGGAATCCATATTATCCCTTTCGGTGACATTTTCATGAAGTCATCTGACGCGAATTTAGTGGACTAATGTTCATTTGGACTATTAAACCGAGTTCTGGAAAGCCGTCGTCCAGAAACAATGGCAGGCTTACGGAAAGCCTGTATGGAAGAATAGAACCGTTTGAACGTGAATATTTTTAAAAGAATTCATTCTACAGTGAAAACTTCCATGTAGGGCTATAATTTCACAACATGGCAGATCGAGCATAATCAAAACTGGAGCCATGGCATTTAGATTATTTTATAGGCCTCTTAATTTGGCATTATGTAACGCGATCAACTCTCTGCAGTACTGTGGTATCTGTAAGATGTCTTATTAGCAAGTCAGTTCATTAGGATGAAGGAAACAATGATTGATTAATTAAGACAAAAATATAAATATCTGTTATTTTAAAACCAACTGAAAGTTTTCATGTTGGAACTCTGCGTTGTCCAAAATTTGAAGTATAAAAAACCAGTAAAACATCACCCTAAAAAACATTAACATTACTGATTTAGTATATGGTATTACTATAAATAAAAATGATATCTTAGAAAATACGATTGACATAAAAAACTACGTTAATTAATTTGTCATATTTTCATATATTTTTAGGAAAAATATTAAATAGGTTTTCAAAAGATGTCAGTATTATGGATGATGCCTTACCTTTCACTATTAATTTTTCCATAAGAGTAAGATTGTAATACTTTTTAATATTTATATGTGTGTAAAATAAATTATAAAAAATAATGAAAAATAATAAATTAGAGTTAGAAAAAATGTTCAGTTACTGAGGTACAGTGTATTCAATAAAGATAAAAACACCAAAAATTTTATGAATAATTTGGAAGTTCTAGAAGCCATTAATATATGACTGTTCTCACTTCTTTTTTCAGAAAGATATACTAACAGTGTCTATTCTACATTAATTAGTAAGTNCTCTACTTACAGCATAAGAAATGTCTTCGCATGGAGAAAAAATTCCGACCGGCGCGCAATTACTATACTGTATTCTTATTTATATTATAGCGTTAACAGCGCCTCTATTGGCATTTATCAGAATTAAGATGAAATGCGAAACGTCTGTCGGCAGGTTGAACCATCCGGTGGCGCGCGAAAGCTCATAGTCCTGCTCTATGGTAGAAGTTGACAGGACTGGCGAAAACAGGGAATCCCCACAGAGCTTCCTTCTCAATTTGTACTTGTACGCATTCGAACAATTCTATCGCATAACAAATTGCAATTGTTTTTTTAATAATTCTTCTGATATGGGTCTAAGTATAATTAATGATATTTTAACTTGGTTAGGATTTAAANAACTACAGAGGCAGTAGCCTAAAAAGGAAGGTCGTCTCCGTGAGTATTTGTGATTTTATGAACTGCTGATGGTGCGAACATCGAAAGAAATGACTGAAACAAAAATTTTTTTTTGTAAGAGTCGTACTTACATTTATTATTTTAATATTAACTTTATGCAAGAGATAAACCTTCCTATCAGCATACGCCACAATATTACACTTATATTACACAAACACCGAATATTTACACTATCTTTTATAATTGCAAGTTTTATAAACAAAAATCAGGTGTGAAAAACAGCAGAAAGAGACTAAATTGTAATAGAAAATCTTTCCAATCAAATATGTTCAATAAGCAGATTGAAGTATACTTTTCAATACACTTTTCCAACATTTTATTTTTCCTGTAAAAAATTCGAAATCGCTTATTNTGTGAGAACTAAATAAGCAGATTTCATATAGGAATGTGGGTGCAGAAATGCAGCAAGAGAGCACTGTTGAGTTCGGTAGATGAAAGCACTTTTCTGGCTTGAATCGTCATTCCCTGCACGGATTTTGAGCAACATGCATCGATACATCTATGCGGAGCTTGCCGATATGTCTTTCATATATGGGGCTGCGCAAGGAAATGGAGCTGCTACTCAAAGGATGTACATGGAGAGATTTCCACGCACAACTCCCGATAAAGACGCTCAAATATTCAGCGATCCAGCAGATTACTATTCGGCAATTGCTCCATGAGCAGCATCTCCATTTCTTTGCACAGCCCCATATGTGAAATACATATTGGCAAGCTCCACATTGGTGTAACGATGCATGTTTCTCAAAATCCGTTCAGAGAATGACAATTCAAGCCAGCAAAGCGCTTTCATCTGCCAAACTCAACAATGCCTTTTTGCTGCATTTCCGCACCTATATTTCTATACGAAATCTGTTTATTTATGTCCCTTCTACCTGCCTTTACATTTCTGACGTAGTTTTGAAACACCCTGTATATATATGTGTAATTAGTAACGAGGATCCAAGGATTAATTTTACTGATTAAATCAATATTATGACCATACAAAAATTTTGGGTCTGTGCAGAATTATCCTTTTTAATTGTCCAACAACAGACAGCTGGAAACAACTTAAAACTGACAAATGACATTAAAAAATACATACAATACAATTGACACCAACCTTTTCTTAGAAGATAATTTAGAGGAAAATAGGTTTAATATATAATTTTTATTAAACATTTGTTTACGTATGTATATCTTAACTTAATTTTTAATTTATTAACAGGATATATATGAAAGCAAAGCACCTAACTTGTGATATTTGTGACTGTTCCAAATAGTAACAAACTTGACAATACAGTCGACCCCCTATAACACAGTAGATACGTTCCGTTCTTTATGAATCAATTTTGTACCAGTCCTTGCCGATCACAGCCCGACACGTGTGAAGTTTACGGACTACGGCTATTTGAAAGGTTTTCTTCTATAAAATTAATCGATTCTAGACTAATTCGATTCAACACTTCCAAATTATGTATAATTTTTTGGGAATAATCCGTATAAACTATGCTATAAACAAAAAATTGTAGGATTACTTACCGAGTGTGTACCGTTCGACGTCGCCATTGCTCAACCTTGTTTTCGTCGCGAAACAGCGCACTGAACGGCGGGCGATTTCTGATAAGTTATTTTCCTGCGAAAACTTCGTTGAACTTTGGAGACATCATTAATATAAATAATTTTTATGGCCGTTGAATAAGAAATGTTTCTTTCACAAGATATGTATAAAATTACAGTACTGTATTAGACTTACGGTACCTAATTTACATACTGTACAGACGATAGTAAACAACTTACTCGCCTAAATTTTTTGTAGCGTGGCGCTGGACAGCGCAAAGTAGTTAAACTGCCTGATGACGTTTTACCGAATTATAAGAGTTTTTTTTACCAGGTTTGTACGGATACCGTTGCAATTTTTCGCTGTCTTACAGGAATCATAATTATAGGAACACGTGTTATAGGGGGTCAACTGTAATGATATTTGAAATAGGTAAAAAAACTTTCAAGAAAGTTTTTCTCAGCAAATAAGGTGTTGGACAATTTGCAATGTTCATGCTGAGAGTAATTTCTGAAGTAAATGATAATTATAAGGATATAATTTTTTTTTAACCATTAAGCAAATTTCTTTCAATGTTTTTAGTACAATAACTCATTTTTTTAAAGAAATTATTTATTAAATATCACATTATAACTCGATATATTTGTTTTATAAATAATGTAGCTCATAAATGTGTAAAATATCAGAAATATTATAATAATAAAAATATTGCATGTCGTAAATTACTGCGTGTTTATTAACAATTTATACTCTTTCATGTCAGGGATATCTTCTTATGGTGGGCATGTCTGTTCTTCAAGCGATTTTCTGTCCTTATCTTCTCATATTGACCTTTGTCCTCTCAGTGTTATTCTGTATTTTATGGACGATATTTAGCCGAGTGTTAAAAAGCATAAAACTGATGGAAGGAAAATGTAAGTAATTTGAAATTATATTGTATAATATAAATTAAAAATATAGTATATAAGTTTAATGGAAGAAATTGCATTTATAAGAAAATTATGAAAAACACGTATTTTAATTAAATGANGAAATCGATTTTTGTCACCCACGTAACTATACAGAATTAAAAATTTATAATACAATAAAATATTTGCAAACAAAATCAGTACAATACTGTTCAAATTTTAAAGAGTACTTCAATATTTTTATGAATCAAAATGCCTGGATCCTGTAAGGGGAATAATAGCATAGCGTGAAATTTCTCGAAATTGTTGCATTTTTTCTAGTTACATTATTTCTCCTGTAGTTATGAATTTTGTATTTTTTTCAATATACATTTACAATGTAAGTATTAAGTACTTTTTCAATTTTTAATTTATAGAAAATAATTTCGAACACTGTAAAATCACATATCTATACTGTGTTTTTCACAATGTGAGACTATAGCGTTACTCATTATAATGTTATGAAATTATTAGTAAAAATTTAAATGTACGGTTTTACCCTTTCAGCAGTGGATTAGTCAGGTATGGTGCTATCCCTGTGTTGTAAATAATAAGCGTTGGAAATTTTAAAAGTATTTTCCCACGTGTTTTTTCTCATTACCGTTTTGAAAAAAGACTTTCTAAACAGTTACAGTATGTTTAGTGTTAAGAAAAATCTTTTTTTATTGTTAAATAATTCCTTTTTTAATGTGAATTTTTTTTTTACCGCGGTATCAGCAAAATAATTTTTCACCAATGCCACACGATTGCCCTTGACAGATATATTCGTCGGTCACTGCTGAGTTTTTCATGCATGTGGATTAAAATAAATGCCGTTTATTCATTTCAAATTACGTTTATTCTAATATACTTTTATCTGGAAATTCAAAAAATTATCAAATTTAACTATATAAATCAAGTGAAGTGTTACAGATTGACACATAGTTTGTATATTTGTTTAAATTTGAACACAGTTTTCTAGCTATTGAGTGTTTACTTCCCAGGCACCCCAATAACTGATAAATACATATAAACACAAAAAGAAAAAAATTATCTTAGTTTTATATTTCATCTGAAAACTATTAGAAAAATAAGACAAATGTAATATAAACGTAGCATTCCAAAAATTATTTAAGCTTAATTCAAATCTATATAATCAAGTATATATTAGTAGTATAGAAATGATGCATTCTGGAGTACAAAAATTAATTAGTATATAAATTTAANCTATGGCATCTTCGAACGATGCACACTCCGTAAGTAATCCTACAATTTTTTGTTTAAAGCATAGTTTGTATGGATTATTCCCAAAAAATTATACGTGTTTTGGAAATGTTGAGTCAAATTAGTCTAGAATCGAATAATTTTATGGAAGAAAATCTATCAAACAGCCATACTCCATAAACTGCATATGTGCCGGGCTGTGATTGGCTCATAGATTTAAGGACTCGTATAACATGAATTTCATAAAGCACGGAACGTATTTACTTTATTATTGGGGGTCTACTGTATATACTTATGAAGCCTCTTTGTTGACCAGGGTACTGATCTGTCATTACCCTACTAAAAATCGATTTTTATGAAATTTATTGACAACAGATGCCAGCACTTGATGGTAGTGTGTTGCCTACTGTCTTTTTCACATATTTTTGTCCAGGTGGTGTTTTGTTAACTCAAAAATTTCTATTTTGTGATATTTTTCTTAATTTATATACTTTTTGATAATTTTTTATTATATTATTANACAATGTAAGTATTAAGTACTTTTTCAATTTTTAATTCATAGAAAATAATTTCGAACATTGTAAAATCACATATCTATACTGTGTTTTTCACAATGTGAGACTATAACATTACTCATTAGAATGTTATGAAATTATTAGTAAAAAGTAGTTGAAAAGTAGTTTAAAATTAGTAATTCTAACCTTTCAGCAGTGGATTAGTCAGGTATGGTGCTATTCCTATGTAGTAGAAAATAAACGTTGGAAATTTTTAAAGTATTTTCCCACGTGTTTTTTCTCATTACCGTTTTGAAAAAAGACATTCTAAACAATTACAGTATGTTTAGTGTTAAAAATTTTTTTTTTATTGTTACATAATTCCTTTTTTTAATGTGAATTTTTTCCCGCGGTAGTTTTGGGCGGTATTCGCAAAATAATTTTGTGGATATATCCGTCGTTCACCAGTGCCACACGATTGCCCTTGACAGATATATCCGTCGGTCACTGTTGAGTTCTTCTTGCATGTGGATTAAAATAAATGCCGTTTATTAATTTCAAATTATGTTTATTATAATATACTTTTATCTGGAAATTCGAAAAATTAACAAATTTAACTCTATAAATCAATTGAAGTGTTACAGATTGACACATAGTTTGTTTATTTGTTTAAATTTGAACACAGTTTTCTAGCTATGTAGTGTTGACTTCCCAGGAACTCCAATAACTGCTAAATACATATAAACACAAAAAACAAAAAAATTTATCTTAGTTTTATATTTCATTTGAAAACTATTAGAAAAATAAGACAAATGTAATATAAACGTAGCATTCCAAAAATTATTTAAGCTTAATTCAAATCTATCCGTATCAACTATATATTTTATCAATACTCTGAAAAAGCACGTCAATTAGAGAGAACGTTGTGAAACATTAAAGTTAACTTCACAGACAATATAAAGAAACTCGTTTCTACCCTTTTAAAATTGTTATCATATTATAATAACTGATGTTATTAAAAATAGCTTTTATATTATCCTATAACAGATAACACAACAAATTATTTATTACTATATGGTAATTTGCCTTAGTGTTAAGACACACAAAGACAAATTACTATAAAGTAAAATGAAAGCATTTTTAAAGAAACAGGGAAGAAAATTCAATTCCTTTTGCAGAAGTGAACGAGTTGACTCTGAACTTCTTTCTGTTGCCAATGTCAATAAACCACTAATTGTTTTATGACTATGTAAACAAAAACTTTCTTCCCAGTTAGTTAATAAAAAGTCTATTTTCTTTATTTACTCTAAACTGTTAATTTTATTATCTAACAACAATTTCTTACATGTAATATTAATCAGAATAAAAAGTTGAAGACAATTAAACATAAATCATGTTTATTACAACTATTCTTATAAAAGATATCTTTATCATTATTGTTTTGAACTTCTACATAATACATATAAGTTAGGATAAATTAGAGTAAGTACTTTGTGTTATTTCATAAAAAGTAAATTTTGCAGATGAACTCAGTAAAACGTATACTGGATTACAGCAAATTAAAGTCAGAAGCATCGTACGAAAGTTCACCTAATAAACAACCACCCCAAGATTGGCCACAAGAAGGAGAAATTCAATTCGATACTGTTTCTCTACAATATACCAACAATAAAAATACTGTTTTAAAGAATTTATCATTTTGTATTCACTCTGGAGAAAAAGTAATATATCTGAAAATTCCAAACAGTATTGCTAATGACTATCGTTTTCATATGATTTTTATTATTTATTAACTGCAGATAGGAATTGTTGGGAGAACAGGAGCTGGAAAGAGTTCTATTATTGCTTCGTTATTTCGCATGACAGAACCAATGGGAAGAATAACTATCGATGGAATTGACACTAAAAATATTGGTCTTCGAAATCTACGCAGTAAATTATCCATCATTCCTCAAGTAAATAAAATTTANACGATTCCATAAATTATTTAGGCTTAAAAAATATAATTTATTTAACTTTCATCTTATCTTTGCATTTTATGTAGATTTTTCTCAACACTACTGGTTTTAGGATTGAACAAATTTTTCTTGTATCAATTGAATTCAATTTTTGACATTAATTAGTATAAATGCAATGCTTGACAACGTTCTCTTATTAACTTCACATATTGAGAAACTTATCTGTTTTTGCAAAATTAAGATAATTACCATATTATAATAATTCATAATATAAAAGTTATTTTTTAATAACATCTTATAACAGATGACACAACACACTATTTAACACAATTCGTTAAATCTTTGTATATGAGGACTGACTGAGTTATTATTATTAATTAATAGAAGGTATCGCAACAGTGTTTTGGTTTTTGCAACCGAGGAAAAACTTATTCAGAAAACAATTTTCATTTTTTCCTCATATTATGCTTTACATACTTTCTTTGTGTTTTGAACCTTCAGGTTTCTTTTCAGCAGGTTTACAAAAGCATGGCGCTATATCAAAATTTATAGAAATTTAAAATAATATATAACAAAAACTACCCAACAATAATATATAGTTGTTTTCATTTCTAACAATTTCTTTATCGTTAATTGCTTCAATATGTAAATGAATACACTTGAGAAATGATATATAGATGTTAAAATAACTTACAATTTTTCTATTGTTAATTACTTCGATATGCCAATAAATACCCAGATAAATCCTTGTATATAACTAAACTATTTGAAAGAGTAAAGAACATATTGGCTAATAAAATAAACTTAATACCAGAAAAACTAGATTCAACCCAAAAACATTTAAATTACAGAGAGATTAAAAAAGCAGATAAAATGGAAGAAAAAGATGTAGTTTATTCATTTGATTGCAGGTGGGCAAAAAAGAACATATATGGGAGAGACAAGGAGTAAACTAAAAATTCGTATAAAAGAACAAATTAGTATGATAAAAGGGAATTATGAAAATTCGGCAGTAGCAGATCATTGTAATAAAGAGGGTTGTGATATTGCTTTAGATACGATAAAAATTAAATAAAAAAAACAAATTTAAAAGACATTTATATGAACGTATTTACATAAAACGACAGACCAACAGAATAAATAATAACTTTGGCAGAGAAATCCACCAAACATGGTACAGTATCCTCGATAACAGAAGCAATAGAATACAAAGTTTATAACGGGGTGTGTTAAGTGAAGGTCTATGTCCTTGCACTTGGGGTGGACTTAACTCTGAACACTGGGAGTTCGGTCGTGGGTTCGCGCCGCGCTTGGACAGGCTGGCAACGTGGAGTTTTCCGGGTTTCCTCCATGTCGATGACGCCTAAAAAGAGGCCAGTTTCCCCATAAAAGTTCTCCCGGAAGGCATTCTTTACCCGCGCGCGATTAGGCCATTCTATACATTCTATAATGCTGGCTTTTTGGTCGCATTACGATTGGATTAAAGATGTATAGCCAAAAGACTCGATATGAACTACCATCTAGAAAGAGAAAGAAATTTATCATCTTCTGCTGCAAGCAAAGTTCTGTGAGTAAAAAAATCCTTTCAATTCTTTGGTGTTACGTGGGTTAAAAACATTCCCACCTTTTGCTTAGCTTTTTATGTATGGTGGAATATAATTTGACCCACCTCGAAAAGTTACAGTTACTCAGTCATACAGTTTAATATTTTATTTACAGTTTCATTCAGTTGGAAATGTCCTTTTCCATTTTTTTAAATTAAAAAAAAATCTGTGCAACTAGGGGGAATTGTCTGTGCCACAAAGAGTTAAAAGTTTTAGAATATTATAAGTTTATAAATATGTTTTAACTTAATACAGGTATTGTAGTATCATGATAAGGATTTTTCGCTGTATTTATTTACATATCCAAGTAATTAACAATGGATAAATTGTAAATCATATTAATTAACCATAAATGTGTTTTTGAGAAATGTATGCTGCTTCTTGCTTCATTTTTTTACATTGATGATATTCATAACAATAAATAATCTCCAGATCTAAATATATAACGTGTGTAGGATGTTTTGGAAGAAGTACAGTAGAGCGTCGATTATCCAAATTAATTGGGGACTGGGGTTGTCCGGATAACTGATATTTCGGATAACTTATTTACGTACGAAAAAATAGTTTAACGTATCCGATGTCGAAATTTTTCTCCGTTGCGTGTCGCTTCGCGTTGAAATTTCGTCGATGTTAAGCCTAACAAAGACTATTGTATCGTTAAAAATTATTTTTTTATTTTGTACAAACAAAATAAATATATTGAAAAATATAAAAAAATAAAAAATTATACTTCAGAAGTTAATTTAGTATCAAAAACATAAAATATTTGAGTAGCCCAAGACATAGCGAAAGATTGAAGCGCCACAGCACCGGCGAAAATTTAAATTTGCCGACTGGAATTCTTTCGGATGATTGACTTTCGGAAAATCGACGCTCTA